CTATCCTCACATATGCTCCATCGTATATTGTATCATGCTGGGTACAGCCTGGTTGTCTCCACCTTCTTACATCTGTTTGGTCCAATGTGTCTCGTCGTGCTTTCGCTTGACATTGTCTGGATTCTCTTCTTACTACATCAGCCATCCAATTGTCGATTACCCCTCTCGCTCTGTTCACCGTCTATCATTCCAAATAGAAACATCTCTGGTCTTCAGTTCAGATATAACGTGCAAATACGGAGTAGTACATCAGAAGTCAAATTGATCTTCGAAGCCAACGTCAGAAGACGACCGAGACGGCCAAGGCTTGAAGCGACTAGGGATACGGAGGACGGAGTACGGGGTGCGACCTTGGCGTCGGGCAAGAAACCTTTCCAAAAGCGGCGACTCCGGCCGCCAAATTCGGCGGGTAATATTCCCAGCGACTTCGGTCACTGCTTCTTATCGTTGTGCCTCTTGATCTCCTCAGACTGCATAGAACTCCCCAACTTGGCTACCATAATACGAGTTGAAGGGCCCAAGGCGACTGCGCAATTGATCAACTTTGGTACTATACCGCCCGGCTAGAGCGAGAGGCAGATCAGGGAAACCACCATGCCCTTCCGGTGACCAGACATTGGAACCCGGGCACAATTGTGTCAAAGCGCTTTAACATGAAGATTGCTACCCTCCAGTTCTTTCCACGATTGGGTGAAGTGGCAGCCAACTTTAGCCGAGCAGAAAGCCTACTCATGCGACAGGAAAGAGAAGGTGAACTGGAAGGCATCGATCTCTTGGTTCTTCCCGAACTCGCATTCAGCGGTGAGTCAAAAGTCCCCAAGTTTAGGTAGAGCTGTCATTCAATACCACGACCAGGTAGGGTGCTCTACCACAGTTCGAGTGTCGGCAGAAGGAAATTCTGTCCCAGTCCGCACAGCCCGGCACGTTTGGGGGCTGACGAGTGTGGCAGGGTATAATCACCCGTCACTAGCAGCAATCGCACCGTTCCTCGAACCAACAGCAGCCGGCCCTTCCACTCGATGGGCGGCCCGCACCGCCAAACGCCTCAAGTGCACCGTGGCTGTAGGCTACCCTGAAGCCGCCGAAGAAGGCAACTACAACACAATCTATGACAAACGCATCACGGCCGAAGAGACCGGCAAGGTCGCCTACAACTCGCTTGTCTTTGTCGGCTCCACAGGGGAGGTAGTGGCCCACTACCGCAAGTCTTTTTTGTACTACACCGACGAGACATGGGCCCAAGAAGGGCAGGGTTTCTGGGCGGGAGTCCTCCCGATTGGTGGCAAAGGTCAGCAGGTCAAGGCTGCCGCGGGTATATGCATGGACATCAATCCCTACAAGTTCGAGGCACCCTGGACGGCGTATGAATTCGGTAATCACGCGCGCGAGGCTCGTGCCAAAGTCGTTGTCATCAGTTTGGCCTGGCTGACGAGGCTGAGTGCCGAGGAGTTATCCAGTCAGGTGATGGAACCGGATCACGACACCCTCAACTACTGGATCGACAGGCTAATGCCTCTTTTTGGACCCCAGGGCGCCCAGTCCGAGGCTTTTGTCGTCTGCGCTAACAGGACAGGCGAAGAAGGGATTGCTCCCAGAATTGGGGAGGTGAGGTATGCAGGCAGCAGCTGTGTGATGGGCATGGCCAAAGATGGGCACGTTCGGCTTTGGGATATTCTTGGGCGTGCTCAGGAGGGTGTTCTAGTGGTGGACACAAACTCTCCGCCTTCCTATTCACTCACACTCAAGCAGAAGACCGAGCCGGAGAACTTGAGAACCAATAACGCGGACGACATTCCTGCGGTTTGAAAGATCGGTGATCACCACCGATTGGCCGAAAGAATCCCAGGGGGCAGCCAGTCCACAGTCCAGCGAGACAAACGTTTGCCGACGCTTTTCTTCTGCCCAGTTTCTGCCGGTATGCCCGACTGTTGGAACTTGCCCCAGGGTGGACCAAGTGTCAAAATCGACTTTCAGTCACGGGACGGACACTGGCATGCACAATTGATTAGCACAGATGTCAATTTCCTCTACACCGAAGGGAAACATGCATTAGGACCACTGCACTGGTGTGCAGTAGGTCCGGATATGGTGACCGGCCCAGTGAGTCAGCAACAGATTAGACGTGCCCCCCACCAACCATGAACGGTCAGCGACCGAATCACGAGATACAGTCAGCCCGGCGATGGAGGGGAAGCCGAACTGCCAAGCTTGGTGGCGAACCCACGCTAAGAGATGCGCTAGGCAGGATTCGGAGGCTCGATGTCGTGACTTCGTTCAAATAACATTTCACATGACCTGCACCTTCCCCGTGACCTTCAACTCGCTCTCTCCTCGTGGTAGCCCGACAGCGAATATTTGGATTCTGTTGCGTCGAGACCAAGCTGCGAAGTCCCAATATCAGCGACAGCTATCTCATCGCCGTGTTGATCCTTGTCGCCAAATCCGCAACCGCAAAGGGCCGTGGCTCAGTGGTGCGTGGCCGGTTGAGCTCAGCAATTCATTCCAAGTAAGTTGCATTCATCAAAGTCACCTGATGCGATCCGCTTTACCATGTCCCGCTTGGGATCATCTTGCGGCTACGCGCAGTTCATCCTGATGTCGCCCTCAGCGACAAGCACCCTCGCACGCACAGTCCCAGCCGGCGGTCAGGATGGGGGAGAGACCAGACTGCCGCCCCTCCTGCTGTGATGCCTGGCGGCCAAAGCGAGCGCAGGCGGAGGAGTGGCAGCGCGGTAGATTGGCGACGGCCAGATGCACTCATTCCACCTTCTGCCCTCCCTCGCCGTCCTCATGTGACATTGCCAGCTGCACACCATCTTTTGGCCCATTTCCTCATCGATTCCCACATATGTTTCCACACTGCATAGTCCAGCACAAACCTGCCCCCGACCATGGCTAACTCGTGCATTGCCAGTTCTCCTCGAGTCGCCAGATTCAACCTTGTCGCCTACCAACCCCCTAATCGCTTTGTCGGCCATCTCAGTCCACGAAGCTAGTTGAGTCAGGCGCAGGCTTGATCAGCAAGCTCATATATCACCGCGGACAGTCCTGGAGAATTTCCGACAGTCCATATCTCAATTCATGGCGAATCAAACTGGCGCCGCCGTTACGGGCAGCACGTCTAACAAACGCAAGAGAACAGTCGCAGATCAGGATGGCCGTGACCCCAGGATGCAGATCACCAATACCAATGGGGAGCATGACCACAACAACTACGGTCTGCTGCTCCAGGGCGACGGCATCCTCACGGATGAAAACACTCGCACTGCCCAAGCCGCGCTCGCCGCGCCTGGCATGAACCCCTCCACCTATCCTGAACCCGGTCATAATCAGGGAGATGCAGGCCTTCCCTTTACCTTCGACGACGGCAGTCCGGTCGGCGTCATGAGGCCGTCGCAAGCTCAAGCTCTAGTCGGGGCTGCTGCGAACACCAACACCAACGCCAACAACAATAACAACGAGCAAGCGAACAAACCGGCTGTCGGTAGCTCAGAATGGCATCAACTGCGCAAGGATAATCACAAAGAAGGTAAGCTATACATTAGTTCGGTGCTTGGCCGTTTCGGCTTGCTCATGCTGCCCTCTTCTAGTTGAACGCCGCCGCCGCGAAGTCATCAATGAAGGCATCGAAAACATTGCCAAGATCGTGCCCGGCACGGAGAAGAACAAAGGCGCAATCTTGCAACGCACGTACGAATACGTCCAAGAGTTGGTCAACGAGAAAGCCAAGTGGCAGAACGAACGCGCCACTTTCGACATTGCCATCAAGGAACTCACCAACCGGCTCGATCGCATGAAGGAATCTGCCCGGGCCGCTTGGGCTGAGACGAGCAAGTGGCAGAGTCGATGTCGTGAGGCAGGTCTGCCATTCGACGACTATGACGATGGCGTGTTGCCGGGGTTGGATGAAGATGACGTTGGTGGCAACTTAGGCCCATGACAACTATGATCATATCCTCTACTTCTGATCCGTGCCTTGTGAGCTATGACAATTCATATTGGCGGCTGGTGTTTTGGCGTGACGGGGTTCTTCATCAGACAATGGCGGTGGGCTTGCACGGGCAGGCCGCGGGCTCGCGATGAACTTATGTTTTCAAGTTAGGTGCCGTCGACAATGGAGCTTGGTGGGTCTTGCGATGCGCTCATCAGCGGTGGTCAGGTTAGATGGCTGCTCGGCGTAGTGCGAGGACTCGCGAAAGGAAAGCTGCAGCGTTCAAGTCGAGGCCAGAGTGAAGCAATAATATTCAGGACAGACAGGAAAGAACATGGATCCATCATTTTAAGCCCTCGACCACTTCCTCCGCGACTAAGGGAGACACTGTGATATCCATCACTGCTACGCCACGATTAAAAGATATCCCAGCCTTCTTCTAACGCTCGGAACTCCAAGGTCTCTTTTGTCCCGAGGCTTACACACTGTTCTCATCTCCTCCGTACGGCCCATATGCGGGACGGGCGACATCATACATAATCGTCACCGTACCGGTCTAGAGGCCATTCAGTCTTAGAGCTTCGGTAGCGCCAAAAAGCTCAATGTCAATAGGCAGGACGCCCATCGCCTTCGGAACCACACCCTGGCGAGCAGTCAGGGTCTTCAACCGGTTGAACAGCTTTGTATTTGACCAACGTGATTGCTCTTCCTTGGCCAATAAGTTCGCTACGTAGCTAAAAACCACACGCGCCTCACCCCAGATCTGGCATGGGGTGATGCCGCCCTGTGCTCACCCCCGGCGCGCGCGAGACAAGGTGAGCGTGGGTGACCACCACCTCTTTTGGGTTCCAGCCTTGTCGAAATGATTAGCCTCAAATAGTGATCGACCGTGACAAAGTTAGCCTTACCCAGGTAGGTTATGTGGGGCGCGTTAATTCACAATCATAGTATTTAGACATCAAACTCTCCCAACAATTCAGCAGTTGGACTTGAGAATTCAATTTCCACCTGGTCGAGCCTTTGTAGCTCAGGTATGTTCCTGCCTATGTATGAGGCCCTAGCACCATCTAACTTCATCGCAGTTGGTAGAGCGCGGCACTAGTACTCTCAGTAATGCCGAGGTCTTGAGTTCGACTCTCAACGGAGGCAATGATCTAGAAAGTCTCAATATGAGACATCCTTTTTTTGGTCATCTTCTTCCGCTAGTTCGATGTCAGACTGGTCCGACGATCGAAGGTATATCTCTACCTCTGCAGCTCGTCTACCAGCTTAACAAAGTCTCCCATGCAGAGAGCTATAAAATAGATGATCTAATCCGTCGATATAGAATTTTTTGGAGCTCCGTAGCTACCACAACTATGCACCAATCGCCTTCATCCCTCGAACTTCCTGTATCGAGAGGAGCCTCTCAATCCCATGGGACGCCTTAGCACCACTAAGATCGTACGATTCCGGATCATCGAGAAAGATGCGAATGTCATTGGCTATCGTCGACGCGGGCAGTTCCTACACGGCGAAGCTTGGTACTCGTAGCGGTTCCAAGGTCCAAGAGGACAAGCAGTCGAGGATATAAGTAAGCATGAACACCGCTCTCAACAACATCAGCACTGTGGCACTTGATGCGACCGGGACTTCCTGCCCGGTCATAATTTTGACGCCGCCGATATTCAGGTCCCTCAGTGCCGTTAAGCACGCTGATGCATAACCAAGGATCGGCTACAGTGCTGTCCGCCGCTTACATCCATCCACACTTTGAATCCATCGTTTGGGATTCGAATCTTGGCGCCACTCGGTCTTCTCCAGCACCGACCGGGCGGTAAGCACGAGCGCGGTTCATCGCTTTGGTATTTTGGAGTACCAGAACTCCGGTCTGTCCTTTGGTCTGAGCAAATCGATCAACAACCATGTGGCGCATTGTCTCGGCGGTGCTGGCTCTCCTCGCAGCCTCTGTGCTGTACTTTGTCATTCTGGTCTACAAGAAGCGGGGAGAGCTCGATGGACTGGTGAGTTTGGTATGCCCCGAGGGGTTTCGATATACTGATACGGTCCGCCAGCCACAACCGCCTATGGAAGGCGGCAAGTTCTGGGGCCACTTGAAGATCGCGGGTGAATGCAAGAGGTTGTTCCCGCCGAACTGCCACATGCAGAACTGGGCGAATTATATCAGGAAGAGGTACGATCTGGGTGGTGAGTGCCTCTCAGTCACAATCCGTCTCCTGCTAAGATATTTCCCGGTCACTGTTAGACGTCTTCTACGTCGACTGGTGGCCCCTCGGCCCTCGCTGGGTCTTCATCGCCGACCCGGAACTGGCGTCGAAGTTCCTGACAACAGGCCAATCGCTCCCGAAATCACGCCTCGTCACCGCGTTCCTCGCCAAACTCCTCGGCCCGTCCAACATGGTCAGTCTTGAAGGTCAGGCGTGGAAGTCTCTCCGATCCATCTTCAACCCCGGGTTCTCGGCCAGCCACTTGATCACGTTGGTGCCCTATGTCGTGGACTCGAGCCTCGTGTTCCTCGACCTGCTGAGAGAGAAAGCGAAGACGGGTGAACCCGTGCAACTCGATCCCCTGACCATCGGATTTGCCATCGACATCATCGGCAAAGTCGTCATGGACTCGGACTTTGACAGCCAGAAAAAGCCGCACCCCATCGTCACGACGTTCAGGAAGCAAGTCCACATGATGCCTAGTGCGTCGAGCATCGGGCCGCTCGACGACATCAACTTCATCCGCCCACTTCGACTGTGGTGGAACCAACGCAAACTCGATGGCCTGCTCGGCGCGGAAATCGACAAGAAAGTCGCCGCGCGGAAGACGTTGCAGCAGCAGGCCAACGGCAAAGACGAGAAGGCCAAAACGGACCGGAAACGCTCGATTGTCGACCTCGCCCTCGACGCGTACGAGAAGGAAGTCGCCGCCGGGGCCGCAGGTGCGATGACCAGCTCGTTCCGCAGCATGGCCATCGACAGCATCAAGACGTTCATCTTCGCGGGCCATGACACCACGTCGGCAACAATCTCCTACACCATGTATCTCCTCCATCTCCACCCGAAAGTGTACAAGAAGCTCGTGGCGGAACTGGACGACATCTACGGGCCCGAGACGACGGCCGAACAAAAGGCCGCGATGATCAAGGACGACCCCCACAACATCAACAAGCTCGAGTACCTCACCGCGGTGATCAAGGAGGTGCTGCGCCTCTTCCCGCCCGCGTCGACGATCCGCGAGTTGCGAGCCCCGGCCGACGTGTCGGCGGTGAAGGCGACCTCGATCCTCGACCCGTCCACCGGCAAAGAATGCCCGCTGGTCGGCTACGACATCTGGCCCGTCGCGCACATGATCCACCGCAACGAGGCCTACTTCCCCCAGCCCCTGTCCTTCATCCCGGAGCGGTTCATCCCGGGCCTCAACCCCTTTCCTGACGCGAAACTGCACACCCCTGCTGGGAAGGACGCGTGGCGGCCGTTTGAAAAGGGGCCCCGGAACTGCATCGGGCAGGAACTCGCCATGATGGAGGCCAAGGTCGTGATCGCGCTGATTGTCAAGGACATCGATTTCACCGCCGAGTTTGACGGCGAACGGATCGAGCCGGGCGATTGGATCCCCAAGGAGACGAGGGATGAGTTCAAGGACGGCATGCCGGGCCAAGAGAGGTTGACCGTCGAAGGCCACCGGCCTTATCAGGTTCTTTTGGGCGCAGCAAGACCACGAGGCGGAATGGCCGGGCGGTTGAAATTGAGGCGGTAGGAACAGCCCGCGGGGATACATATAGCACATGCATAGAGGGAGAAGAGATGAAAACTTGGTGCAATGTGAGCAAAAAAAAAAGAGGCTCGCCTTGGTTGATATCCGCGCAATCAGACTTGTTCAGTCGGCGAAGTTTCGAGTTGGCTACACAAGTGTAGTACAGTATACCGATCGTGTGTGAGAGTGTGTGTACGCGTGTGCCCTTCGCTTCTCTTCAGCTTGCGCCTCCACCGAGAAACTAAGTCGGAGTCCATATCTAGGAACGTGTCTCTCCTAGCGGTGAAGGCGTCTCCTCTCTGACCCTCTCTCGTTTCGCCAAGGTAACAGCGACCACGGCCCCAGTAGGGGCTTCGCCAACAGCGAGAGGGTGCGGGATTTTTCGTGTCGACCAAAACCAACTCGACAGGTTCGAACGCGGAGGGAGGAGCTACTCTTCTCGAGATCCCTTCAAACCAAACACACGGTCAGGTCAGGTCAGGTCAGGTCAGGTCAGGTCAGGTCAGGTCAGGTCAGGTCAGGTCAGGTCAGGTCAGGTC